AGCAAGGTAGTGACGTCATTGTTACATGTAGCGTACATCCCAGACGTGAGTCACAGCCTCCGGGCTAGTACAGTGGTAACGTGTCGGCCTTTCATCCGAGGGGTCGGCGGTAAGGGTAAGGACTAAGCTCATCCGAGTCAGCACCTGCTGACACACTGTTAGCGAGTCGACATTAGTCGACACAGGCCGGGCTCCCCCATATCCCGGACTTATCCTTAACCTGAGTCACCATACAGTGATGTTTACGTACAAAACGCCGTCACTAGCTTTTATTCTTCAGTCACCATAGAACATTATACAAATACACCGGAACCACTACACAAGTTAGGCATCTGACAATAATAAACATACTCAGCGACTGTCCGTCTTGTATCCTGTGTGTCTCCAATGGTGTACTATATAAAGTATTCAGTGTAGAGCCCTTGTCATCATCACCATCATCCTCTTCATCATCCTCTTCATCATCCTCTTCATCATCCTCTTCATCATCCTCTTCATCAACATCATTATCATCACCATCATGTACATCATCAACATCATCACCATTGTCATCATCACCATCATCCTCTTCATCATCCTCTTCATCATCCTCTTCATCATCCTCTTCATCATCCTCTTCATCATCCTCTTCATCATCCTCTTCATCATCCTCTTCATCATCCTCTTCATCATCCTCTTCATCATCCTCTTCATCATCCTCTTCATCATCCTCTTCATCATCCTCTTCATCATCCTCTTCATCATCCTCTTCATCATCCTCTTCATCATCCTCTTCATCAACATCATTATCATCACCATCATGTACATCATCAACATCATCACCATTGTCATCATCACCATCATCCTCTTCATCATCCTCTTCATCAACATCATTATCATCACCATCATGTACATCATCAACATCATCACCATTGTCATCATCACCATCATCCTCTTCATCAACATCATTATCATCACCATCATGTACATCATCAACATCATCACCATTGTCATCATCACCATCATCCTCTTCATCATCCTCTTCATCAACATCATTATCATCACCATCATGTACATCATCAACATCATCACCATTGTCATCATCACCATCATCCTCTTCATCAACATCATTATCATCACCATCATGTACATCATCAACATCATCACCATTGTCATCATCACCATCATCCTCTTCATCAACATCATTATCATCACCATCATGTACATCATCAACATCATCACCATTGTCATCATCACCATCATCCTCTTCATCAACATCATTATCATCACCATCATGTACATCATCAACATCATCACCATTGTCATCATCACCATCATCCTCTTCATCAACATCATTATCATCACCATCATGTACATCATCAACATCATCACCATTGTCATCATCACCATCATCCTCTTCATCATCCTCTTCATCATCCTCTTCATCATCCTCTTCATCATCCTCTTCATCATCCTCTTCATCAACATCATTATCATCACCATCATGTACATCATCAACATCATCACCATTGTCATCATCACCATCATCCTCTTCATCAACATCATTATCATCACCATCATGTACATCATCAACATCATCACCATTGTCATCATCACCATCATCCTCTTCATCATCCTCTTCATCATCCTCTTCATCATCCTCTTCATCATCCTCTTCATCATCCTCTTCATCATCCTCTTCATCATCCTCTTCATCATCCTCTTCATCAACATCATTATCATCACCATCATGTACATCATCAACATCATCACCATTGTCATCATCACCATCATCCTCTTCATCATCCTCTTCATCATCCTCTTCATCATCCTCTTCATCATCATCATTATCATCCTCATCATCTTCATTATCATCATCATCCTTTTCAACATCATTATCATCACCATTATCTTAATTATCAACATCCTCATCATCACCATCATCCTCTTCATCCTCATCATCATCCCTTCATCATCATCCCCATCTTCAGCTTCATTCTCATCATCCTCTTCATCAACATCATTATCATCTTCATTATCATCATCTCCTTTTTCATCATCATCATCATGGTTAAATGGTAAGCTTATTTGCATTTTGTCCTTCGTACGTCATTATTCTCATCTTCATCATTATCATCACCATCATGTACATCATCAACATCATCACCATAATCACCATCACCATCGTCATCTTCATCATCATCACCATAATCACAATCACTTCCCCATCATAATCTTCATCATCACCATTGTCATCATCACCATCATCGTCATCATCATCACATTCATTATCATTATCCTTTTTAAAAGCAAATACTCTGCACTGAATTAATCTATTTATCATTTACACGACAACCCGAGGAAGGAGGATAAGGAAGGAGGTAGGAAGGGAAGGCGAAAGGAAGGAGAAGAAAGGGGAGAGGGGAGGAGAAAGGGAGGGGGAGAGAGTAATAAGAAAAGGGAGATGGGGAAGGGGAACCAGAGGGGAAAGAGAGAGGCCAAGGGTAAGGGGAAATGGAGG